TTGGGCAAAATAAAAATCCAGGAAGCCAGGCCCTGCAGCGTATGACTCTGTAAGGGCAGTTAGTGCAGGAATCACATCCAGAGGGGACTGCGAGGTATAGGTTTGTGGGAGGGGAAGGATATGAGGAAAGCAGCACCCTCATGCTGAACAGGAAGCCTCATGTCCCAGCGAGCTAATCGATGCCTCCAGGTGAGAAATCCAGGAGGGGCGTGGGTCCAGTGTGGGGGGAAGGTTTGGGGGATCAGGGCTGGGGTGTGCCTTACTGGAGCCACAGGGATGTTCCCCTGGATGTGGCCCTGAGTGCTGTCCGAGGTGGGCGTGGTCTCCAGCGCATCACAGCCAGCCAAGTGCTGGCACATTCGTGGTTGCAATGTGTTTCCAAACCTAAGGTGTCATGATCCCCAAAGGTGTGGACCTGAGAAGGAGGGGCGCCGGGTGGAGCCCTGAGCTTAGTGCCTGCTGACAGCAAGAGTGTTGACTGGGGCGCTGGGGCAGGGCTGGGAGAACTCTCTCAGGACCCCTTCCAGAAGGCCTGCTGGTGCTTGTGGGGAGAAGACCAGGCAAGTCAGGCAAGGCCAGTGCTGGGATTAGAATCTGACAAGCATTGCCATGCTTCTTTATTGAGTCTGATTTTCAGACACTAGCAAAACCCAAAACCACAGACAAATGCCAGAAACTCAGATAAGCAATGCCCTTTGCAAACTTCCTGTACATCTGGTCTCTGCTGGAGAAGTGAGGCTCTGTGAGGGAGGTGACCCTGCCCACCTGCCTTCCTCACACCACTGGACCCCAGCAGGGGATCCCACTGGCTTTGGAGTGAGTCCCTTGTAGGGTGTCTTGAGGGGTTCTTTCCTGCAGCTGCAGGGGACCCAGCCATGAGGCAGATTCTGAGGAAGGGCCTGCTGTGTGAGCAGCAAGGGTGTGATGGACCGGGGAGACTGAGAGGAGGCACGTGGGCCCCCTGCACTCTGATGGCTTTGGCATGGAGTGACTGCACTTTCCTCCAGCAGAGGTCTCTGCTCTTCCACGGTGGGAGGCTCCTCCTCCTTCTCTTCCTCCTCCGGTCCAGAGATGATGACTAACGGCATGGTTTCAGTCAGTGCCTTCTTAGGCAGTGAGGGACACCCCAGTGACGCAGGTCAGGAAGCCTGTCGGGTGCTCAAGAGTTCTGCTCCCAGCAGGGGAGGTCCGTACCCCATGCTTAGGACAAGGAGCCATCAGCATGAGGCCTTGGGGTCCGGTGTGGGCTGAAATGGTAGCAGGGGTCAAAATGGTGCTGTGTGTACCTGATAGATTCAGCTCCAAACAAAAATATGTTTACGGCCAACCACGGTAGGAGACATATGAGAGGAAACAGGTGGATTGCAGGTATTGGGGGTTTTCCGCATCCTCGCCTCCAGCCGAGTTTTTGTCTGAAGTGCTGGACAGATTCAGCCTCATCCTGTGCACCAGAGGCAGGAACACTGTGACCCAGGCTGCATCCGGCTGCTGCCTGCTGCTATCTGCCAGGCGCTGTTGGAACCCAGGTCCCTCCACCCCCATCTGGACTCTTTTACTGTGCAGTGGCAGCAGTCACAGATCTACATGATCTGCAGAATTGAACATATTTATTATTGGGTCTTGTAGAGAAAATTACTTCTAGCTGTGCATTAAACCATGGCCATCATCTAACCCCACACGGTGGTCACTGGGGAATGCAGAGCTGGTCCCCTGGTGATCACTGCGTAGAAACAGAGCCAGGCCCCATGGATGTTGCAAGATGGCTCAGTAAGGACACAGACAAGGCCACACAGCGGCTTCCTCTCTTGTCTTCCTTCTGCTACGCTGACACTTCTGCTCCTGTGACCCTGACCTGCGCAAGAGACACCCAGTCCTTTCTTCTGGAACATTACACATTCTGGATTGGACTGAGAGCTTCTGAGAGAAGTGTTTTACTTGTTTCTCTCAGGCCTGTTTTACCTGTAAGTTAGTAGCTAGACCCTGAGACACGACTGCTCTCAGGTTCGGTTTCATAGGAGATATGTACGTTTTGTGTCACCTCTCAGCAGGAGCCCCGTGGTGGCTGTGGTCACCCTTTTCCCAAGGCTCATTCTCAAGGGTGTTGGCATCAGCCGTAAGCTTCCATGATGGAGCTCTGAGCCTGGCATTTTCCTGAGTGGTTTAGAATAAGTCACCGATGTCTTTTAGATCACGGTTTCATTCAGCTCTGTGAAGAGATAATTTTATAATTCTCTCATCTGTTCTGCAAAGATCAGCTGGTAGTATGAGGTGGTGAAGATAGTGCCTTCATTTCACTCTTGTTTGCACTAAAATAGTTTGTGCCAGAAAGGCAAAATAAGTGCTTGAGCTTTTCTTCTGTTTAATAGTTTCCAAAGTGACAGTTGCTGTCTTGATCATGGACTCCAGTTGTTCATACTTATACACGAGCGTCCTCGTGAACGCCTGCAGTCATGTGCTTCGAGGCCCTAAAGTCATTACTGCCTGCAGTCTGCAAATGTTCTACCTGACTAATCCATGCTCTTCACAGTCATGAAATCTCACTGTTTCTTGCCAGAAGCAGCTGTCATCCAGCACTGCCCTTGCTCAGCTCGGCCCTTATTCTGCGGGACTCTGTTGTGTCCCACTTTTGACTCAGTGCCTCTGAACATGATCCCTGTCACCTGAGGATGAATTGCCAGCATTGCTCTTGGCTGAGTGCCCTGCCCCATTCGAGGTGAGGTGAGACTACACTCATCCTGAGAGGTGAGTGAGAGACTGGGCTTTGGGAGGAGCTGAGGCATGAGGGTAGAGCATGGTTGTCACCAGTGCCCCGAGTGATGAGGAAGCCGCCAGGTGCTGCTGTATGTGGCCTTGGATTCCTGCTGTGTCTGACTCCGTGCTGCACAGCTGGGGGATTCGTGCTGCTGCCAGAGCCACTCAGGGCGTGGCATTTTTGTACAATAATATCTCAGATGCACTGAGACACTACTCAATCTCCTTCCATGCTTGGTTCTAATTTTTAATAGGTAACTTAGAGAGGAGAGGTTAGCTGCACTTAAGGCATCCTAGTAATACTGCAGTTTTCTCCAATGAAAAAGGATCAGTGAAAAGTGGTGTAGGCTCCTCTGCACGAACAGGTCATTGTCAGATCAGCCTGGCCATAGAGCAGGGGCCAGAGCACTCGGTCAGCTGAGGAGTGGCCGTGTGTGGTCAGGCCTATGAGGGATTGGAAGACCCACACCAGAAACAGGAAGAAGTGGCTGGAACACCCCCGGGTGCTGCTCCTGCCAGCAGAGGTTTCCTCTAAGAGCAGACAGGTCCTGGTTTTTTTTTTTTTTTTTTTTTTAATTTTATTTAAGGAGAAAAAGAAAAAAAAGCAGAGAAAGGGTACACGTTATACAGATTTACAGAAAAAGATAAACAGTAGGAAATCACTAGTTAATGGATTACATATTGTCATCTTAGAAATAATTGTTCAAGTTACAAAATTAAAGCTTATAAAGTGGACATTCCAACAGTGAGACTGCAAACAGTTCTGTTCAATGACCCAACAAAACTCAGTAATATCATTATCTATCTTATACACTTAAATATACATGCAGTTATATCGTTTAGAGCACTTTCTTTTCCTCTCTTTTGTACAATGACAATTACCCATTTTGGGTTTTGTTGCTCCCACAGTTCTTATTACTTTTTTGGAAGAGAGTAGAACCAAATGTGACATAACAGAACAGAGTCAGTCAAATCAAAAGGGTGGACATAATAGATAATGTAAAAGCATAATACAAGGTGATCAACAATGGTTACCATAATGCCTCCCGCTATCTCTAATAGAATTGCCTATATCATCAGTTATAATAAAATTGAACAAAACAGTAAAGAACAAAACCAACAAAACCAAAACATTGGAGACATTATAGGTCTTCAAAAGTAGATAATAGTCAACCAGAATGGGCGTCATAATGAATCCCACTATCTTCACAGCTGTTGCTAAACTTTCGAACCTGGTACTATCCAGCAAAACAGAATAGAGGAACATCAGTCAAAACAAGATGGTGAGAGCAATATAGGGCTTTAAATCAAGATAATGGAAAGTCAAAGTGGGTTACTATGATATATCCTGCTATTTTTTAATGTTCTGTTTTTAAGGTTTCTAAGTAAGGAGGCCCAGACAGCTCGAGTGAGAAGCAGCTGTGTCCGGGCATCCAGGTGCCGGGTGGTGGTAATGTCCTTCACGGATGCTAGCATCTTCTGCTCTCAGCCTTTCCCTCCACAAAGGACCATGCGTGGGAGTCTGTCCCCAAGGCTGAGGATGAAGCTTCTGTGGCAGCTGATTTCATTTATGCTCTAGTTGACAGGACTGGAAGGCAAAGGAGCTGTTGAGGGCAAGGGAGTTGCTTTGTGCACCAGTAGGTGCACGAAGAGGTTTATTGCACAAAGCAGGACGACCAGCTGTCCTTCCCTGGGGGATGCAGGGTGGCTGAAAGGTCCATGTGGCTGAGTTGTGGCCACGCTCTGTGATGTGCAGCTGGTTGTGTAATTGTTTGAGTGAAAGATGCTGATCTGGGAACCCAGACTTTAGCCCTCAAGGGCGAAACTCAAGTGGGGCAATTTTAATGCTCAGATGAGGTTCTCATTGCTAACGTAAAGCAGCTCACTGCCCACTGTCCAGACAGAGCCTTGGCTGTGAAGATGGACCCTTTGTGTCACTTGCTTGTGGGTTTGGGGCTGAAACCAAGTGATAGTGATTTTGATTTGTTTCTCTGCACCAGGCAGCCTTATTGACTGGCTTATCTCTCATTCTACATTTGGTACCCTAACCCCAGATTTTCTTAACTGTTTCCACATGGGGGCATTTTTACCAAAGGGAAAGGACCAAGACGTGGAGGCGGGGCAGGGGGTGAAAGAAGAGCTAAGATGAGTTAGGTGCGTGCACCAGTTTCCTGAGAGGATGTCCTACCAGCATACTAATCAATATAAAGCCAGATTGAGACGCAAGACTTAGTTTGAACTGAAGATGATTGCTTCCAAAAAGATTTCATTAAATCTTTTTAAAGTTAAAACAGTGACTGAAAGCTTTCTTCACGACTCCCACATTTTTCTCTCAGCTCATTTGCAGCACTTGGCCTTCCCACTGAAACAGGTACCAATATATTTGGAAAAGTTAGGGCAATTGTAAATGGTACAGTATCCTCCGTTTTCACTGCATTCAGTCTCATCCGCTTTTTGCTGGAGACCTGCGAGGAGGCCAGTACCTGTGGAGAGAACAGAAGTACTTCAGAGCAGTGACATTAGGACATTTGGGAAAGGAAGGATGCAACTCTTAACAGGAAGTTTCCTCCTGGACTCCTCTTCCACTGTGCTCAGGAGGGAGGAAGTTGTTCCGTGATGCTCCTGGTGGGCGACCATCCAGGCACCATCTTGCCAGCTTTCACTGCAGGTGGCACTGCTGAGTGTGCCTCCTTGAAGCTCTTGGTTGCACCTACCACTTTCAGAGCGTGGTTGTCGAGCTGTTTGCGGAAGTAGGGCTTTTAAAGAGTTAGTCAAGGTCAAACAAGATCACTAGAGTGGACCCTGCTCCAGAATGACTGGTGTACCTACAGAAGAGACTGGGCACAGACACACACAGGAGGGGTGAGGGTGGACACTGAAGGGGCCATCTGTCAGCCGAGGAGAGACACCTCAGCAATGCAGCCCTGCTGCCTCCTCCACCTCAGATTTCCAGCTCCAGAACTGTGAGGAGATATGTTTCTATCGCTAAGACCTCCAGCCAGTGGGATTTTGCTATAGCAGCCAAGACCTCTATAGACGTGTGTATCTATTGTCTGGACGCGGGGTTTTCATACTGACTGAGACTGTGCTCTCAAGGAGCTTCCTCCAGGGCCTCTTTTATAACTTTTTGCAGTTAAGTCTAATGGTAACTTAGGGTAATAAGCTTTAGTTTCTTCCCATCACCTTTTTAGTGCCTCCTTTCTAGACCTGCCCCATCCTGTGCATTCTCCTCTGGGTGTGTCCAGGTTGTCAGGAGACTTCCTGAATTCTGAGCCTTGGAGTAAATGTAAAGCACCTTAGATGTTTCCCTGCAATCAGTAGCGAAGAGTTTCCTTCCTCCCACAGTCTTTGCTGTTCTATGTTGGCCAGCATGGTAGCCAAATGTGGAGTGCGTTATTACCACGTAAATGAACCAACATTTCATTTGTCATATTGCAAGTGCTCCATAAATACACATGTTCCTGGTTACAGCATGGGACAGTGCATGATTGGAAGCCTTCTGTCACTCTGAGACCTCCTATTGGGCTGTGCTAGCAAGAGGGTGGAAGAGACTTAAGAGACACTCTGGTTACCCTACCCCATCCCATACTCAGAGAAGCACCTTGGGCTAAGGCTCCTCCACTGCATGAAGCAGTCTCCTGGTCTCCAGTTTTTGAAACCCTGACAGTGTCTGAGATTGCCTTGTCCTAGTTAGCGCACCACAGTGTTGCCCTCCAGTGGGGTCCTAGGCAACCACTCTCCCAGTGTGTCTGGCTCCACCTTTTGTCTCCTGACCTGGGAGCCTCCAAGTGCTTGCAGGATTCCAGGGGAATGTTCAGTCCAACCCCTGCAGCACACTGGGACCCCTCTGAGGGACTGCCTGCTGCTCAGGAAAGAAAGTTAAAGCTCTGAAGGTGCACTGCAGTCCCGAGAGAGTCTGCACACTCTTTTCAGCCAAAAGTAATACGTCTCACAACCATACTGCTTGGTAACGGTGGCCTTGTTCCTAACCAGAAGGAATTTCTGTCATTAACTTCAATGATCCCATACCTTAAGGATGCAAATTAAACTGCAGAGAGCTCAGTGTGCAGCGTGGTGATCACATTTAGTTCTAATCTAGGGTGTGATCTTTGGCAAACTGTTCAACCATTCTGAGTGCCACTGTCTCACATTTAAAATCGAGGAATTAGAGCGAATGTTTCCTCCCATTTCTAATATTCTAAGGCTGATCATTTTCCCTTGGCGCTTCACTCACACATATTCCATTTAATCCTCTGAGGAATGTGCTGCATTTATCTAACTTACATATAGAGAAACTGAGGCCCAGAGAGATAGACTGTTATCCACTGTCTCTTAACAACCAAACAGAATCCATGTTTCTGCCACCCCAGCTTCCAGCGCACCTTAGTAAAGACATGGGCTGTACCAGCTTTCAGAAGCCTCCTGTGCCAACTACATGGAGTGGAGGGAAGTGCTCTCTGCTTCCTGTTTGATTCCTCATGAAACACAAGGGCACCATATTCAGTCACTTCCCACAATGAAAGCTTTTACTGTTTATCACAGACACATACCAATAAAAATATTTTAGAAAGAGAGCCCTGGAATAACTTCTTTGTTCCTCTCACTCTGTGTGTTGATTGGGTGCTGATGATGGACTCTGCTCTGGTCAGCTCTGCTTTCTCTATGCAGAGTCCTGGTGGGACCCATGTGGTTCCATAGGTACATGTTATGGTTCATGTCTGGAAGTCCCCCCAGTTCCTCCTACAGTCATGGGCGTTGGGCTTTTCAGAGGTGGCTAAATCTAGTTTGTAACTGATTCATGGTCCAATGTTGGGATTAAGTGTGGGTGATTGGTGGATCAGTCCACTAATTGTATTGGCACCACCCCAATTCCAGCAGTCTGGGTATAATAATGGGGAAGAAAGAAGCTTGTCCCACTCCCCGCTTTTTACTCTTGTTTGATTTTGCTGTCTTCCAGTCACCATGAACTCCAGTCTCTCTGCCACACTACCCTGCCTTGGAGCCAGCTGATGGTGGACTGAAACCTCCACAAACTTTGAGCTAAATAAGTCTTTCCCTCTTTAACTTTGGGTATCAGGCATTTGTCTCAGCAATGAGAGAAAAATAACTAAGGCTGTAGAGCTATAGTTGGTGCCATGGAGCCCATGGCTGCCAGTCACTGCTGTGTGACCAACGCCAAGTTATTTGTCCTCAAACTGGAGACAAGGGATTTCCTACTTTCTCCTTGGAGCACTGTGAAGACCAAGTTGAAAGGGGAGATGTTGCTTTGCTTTCCCCACACCTCAGACTTTCACGGTGCTATTTCACAGATTTCCTGAATACAGGGTGAAGATTCTGATGGCTGTGGTGGCCAGCTGGTGACAGACATATCAATCAGCTGAGGGAAGTGACAGAGAGCTTCGGTGACATGGGGCGCAGCTCTGCTGAAGGAGCACCCCTGCCAATTCGCACCTCATTGTGGCAGGTAGATGTGATGCTGCAAATTTTAAGTTTTCAGGGCAGAGAAAAATCTAAATCTCATGTGACATAGTTCGCTTTTTAAATGTAGATGGGAACTTACTGTTGAACCCCATTCACACCCAAATCATCTATTCCCCATTCACTCTCACCACCTGGAACAAGCCTCTCTTACAGCCTCAGACCTGGTCTGCTCTCTCTCTGGCCCCTTCTGGCCCCACAGCCGCTCCCTGTGCACCTCCAGGCAGGGACTTCATGCTGTGCTCACCTCCTGCTCTGCTCTGCCCCTAGCAAGGAGGCCCAGGACAGGGCCTGCACAGATTAGATGTGGACGAAGCCTCATGCTGGCTTGGTGTCCAAGAGGTGAGCTCTGTGGCCTTGTCATCCTGGCCCAGGCAGTGTCACAGCAAGGCCATTTGCAGAGGTGAGAGGAGCAGCCCCCTTCTCTGTGAGGGGAGGAAAATGGTCCCCCTGATCATCAGGTCTCAGCTCCTGTTGCTGGGGGTCCCTGAGCCTTGTTTCTCCATGGGTTTGGACATGTACAGGTGAGCTCTGAAGAGACTGGGGTGCAGGGATCCTCTACTGGGCTCAGTGGTCCTGGTACCTGTTGGGCCAGCACCACCTCCAAGGCAGAGCACCTGGAACTCCAGGTTGGTCCAGCTGAGTGGCACAGGCAAGGGCTGCACAGGGCTGCAGCACTGATGGTGAATCATCAGCTGCTGTGTGTGAGGTGTGGGGCCACCTGGGTGAGTTACCATGTCACAGTGTGTGTGATGTAGGAAGGTATCATTTGTTGCTCACAACTAAGAAAAAACCGTAGAAAACCATGAGTACCAGCTTAGAAAATGCAGCAGAGTGTGTGTGGACTGCGTGTAGGGCCCCTGCACACACGGATGGGAGGCTGTGGCTTCTAACTTGGCCGGTGCTGATGTGTTCCAGGCTTTGTATAAGGGCAGAATAATAGAATAGAAAATTTATAGATGTTTTACAGTAGAAGCTAAAAATTGGTTAGTGGCCTGTGACTGTGCCCATGCTGCCTGTCACACAAACTGCTAGACTCAGTCTTGACTGCCTGTGTCCAGCTGTAATGTCTGCATGTTCCTACCTAAACATATATATGTGACCTGCTGGAGGTGACAGAACAGAGATGACCCCTGCAGTGCCCATCTTCTGTCACATCAGGGACACCACTGCTCTGTCCCAGAGAAGCTGGCACACTCTCTTCAACTGAGGAGTCCAGGTCTTGAAAAGGAGCCTGGGATCTCCAGGGAGAGGGAGTGTTCCTGTGGTCTCCTGCAGAGACCTGAAGCCTGCAGACAGCTGAGTCTTAGGCAGAGGCCAAACTGGTCGGGTGGGAGGGCTGGTGTCTCCCTGTCTGAAGCAGGAGGGAACAGCCAGTGACCTGGGGAGGAGGGCGATGCTTCTTTCTGCACATGACTCTGTCCTCCAACTGTGAGGAGGCCTTATATGGGACCAGGAGGCACTTGTTCCTTATGAGACATTCTGTAGATGCCCAGACCTTCTCCCAGGGAGCTGCTCGGAAGCATTGTGCTAGATTTGTCTTTTAACCTCAATGCCTACTGCTGCTGTTGTGCCACTCAGCCTCACATGCTGTCCTGCTGCTGGCCCTGTGCAGTTGTCCTCAGCTATCACATGCTGCAGTGCCTCCCACAACACCGCAGCATGTCCCCAGGCTTACCGGGTGAGATCTGAGAGAGGAGGAGGCAGCACATGAGCAGCAGAAAGCAAGGAGTCCTCATGGTGACCTGCAGGCTGGCTCGGATGCTGAAGTGGGGAGAAAATTTCTCCACAGCTGGGTCCGCAGAGACTCCCAGAGGCTGTAGTGCATCTGTATTTATAAGAATGCAGGATTGTGCAACCTCAGGATGGGCTGGGACGAGATGGTGCAATCCACAGTGAGGTCCTAATAAATATCTCTGTCTCCTGCTGTTTGCCCTGATTAGTCTCCAAGTATTGTGGTCACATTGTCCCTATGTAGTGTGGGGTGAGTTTTGCTGTCAGACTGGAGATTAAGAATTGGCACCTCCGCCAGGGCTGTTTGTTTTCCAGGTTTGTTGGGGGGAAGGCAGCTCATAGTAGGGTCCGTTGAGTGGCAATGGCTCAGAGAGGCCCTAAATAGAGGGCAAAGCTGGAGCATGTCCTGACTTTTAGTCCTGCCTGCAGTTGATCCTTGTGTTTAGTTGTGTCACCCTCTCCCTGCGTAAAAGCTGAGCTGGTGCAGAGGGGGAAATTTGTCTTCAGCCTGAGGCTTTGTTCTCCTTCCTCTGCCCCATAGAACTCACTTCTCCAGGGGCCAAAGCTTCCTTCAAACATCTGGATTTTCTGACCATGAGTCCCAAGATGATATGACAAACTGTGGAGCTGCCCTAGCATAGCAGTTGGACTGCTATGGTAGCTGGCCACTGTGGATCTCTCATGGTCTCAGTGATTCTAAAGTTGTTGTGAAGTCTATGGTCATTAATTTTCACTGCAGAACTTTGAGCATCTTTATCGCATCTTGATGAGTGCGCTGATTTGTAAGCAGTGGAAGCAGGCTCTCTGGTCACGGAGGAGAGGAGCTCATTCCGAGCACACTGAGGAGCCCATGCAGCCTTGCTGTGGCTGAGTACGTGACTTGAGGCTCAGCTACCAGGGAAACTGGCTTTGTTGCCTGTAATGTTTGTCTTGTCTGTGGTGGTGAAGAAAAGTAGAATCATCTAGAAGAGACACTGTGCCATGGCAGACCCCTTGTCTAGACAATGTTCCACGGCAGACCCCTTGTCTCAGCTCTCCATGCTCTAAGTTAAGGCTGTTCCTGAGCATGAAACCAACTCACTCTCCTGCTTTCCATTGCCATGAGACAGGAAAATGGGTCTCAGTTAAAAAAACTTTTCTCTCTGCTCTGAGCACTGTTTTATCCCATGTTCGCTAGAGCCTGGCAGAGCTGAGGTCCCACCTCCTGACTTACTGGATAAGGAAGCCAGGCGTGTGGAGATGCTGGCTTAGCAGCCTGGGATCCTTGTGAAGGAGACTGGTTTTAGCCCATGTTGTTCCTCCTCATAAGAGCGGTCTTCCCATGGAGCTAAGATTTCTAGGCCAGCAGGGTATGAGGCAGTGGGCACAGGAAGCAAAAGTTTTTTGTTTTTTTTTTTTGTCTTTTTTCATTTTTATCGGTACCGGGGATCGAACTCACGACTGCCTGCTTGCAAGGCAGGCACTTATGCCGCTGAGCTAAATCCCCAGCCCTAGGAAGCAAAAGTTTTGCTGGTGTCACTAGGGGTAATGGTGAGTGGTAACATTCCCCAGTTTTCCCCCTGTTTCCTGTACTGTGAACCCTGGCTATGGGAGACATATTATTAGATGTTGACTTGGCATATATCCAGCCTTCTGGAGAACCTTGGCCCAGTCTAGCAAGTTACTGCTATCTACCTGGCACTGGAATTTCATCTTAAAAAGGCCATTCCACTGTTCGTCAGTCCAGTTGCTTCTGGATGGTGGGAGACATGGTAAGACTGATGAATTTGGTAAGCGTGAGCCCACTGCCACACTCCTTTGGGTAACCTGCATTCATTGGGCAGAAGTAAGGTGTGAGATACCATGGGGGCAGATGAAGCGTTCTGTAAATCCATGAATGGTCATTTTGGCAGGTGCATTACCTGTAGAGAAGAAAGACCCAGACCTGGAATGTATGTCTATTCCTGGAAGGTTAAAGCATTGCCATTTTGATGACACAAGTGCCCCAGTAGAAACCAACTAGAAAGTTTGGTGTGCCCCTGTGCTAGGACCATGGAGGTATATATAGAGAAAAAGTCATTTTCCAACCTGATAGATGTACGCAGACCACTAGAAGATGCGTTAATTGGCTCAAGTGAGGAAACCACGGGCAGAACAGCTGCAGTTGGTGTTGTCCTTGGAGTAAGTCCCTGGGAGCTCACTGTCATTCCCCAAGATCCATTCCTCTTCTGCACAGGCCAAGTGGAAGAGTTACATGGGGATTAGGAGGAACCACCACCCCTGCATCTCTGAAGTCCTGTGTGGTGACAATCGTTGCAATCCCTTTGGGGATGTAATATTATTGTTCATTTAGTATTTCCCTGGATGGAGGATATTCTATTGATTTTCATTTGGCTTTTACAATCATAATAGTCCCTGCTGCATAATTTCAGGAACCAATATGAGGATTCTTCCAAGTATTGTATCTTTCCCAATTATGCATTTCGTAAATGGGGATTTATAAAACTACTACATTTTAAGAATCATTATGAAATCAGGTTGTTTGTGCCTTAAGCAACTGATATCGTTATTGTCTGCAGAAATGAAAGACATGCCTTCCACTTTGCAAGTGTTTTTCCCAGGCGGACATGGGTTTTATACAGTCTGTCTTGGCAGGAGCAGCTGTTCACCTGCATCTCCCACTTGCAGCCCTTGCCTATTCCGTGCCTGTGACTGTGACTCATTGCTTTGCACACAGTCTGTTATGTGAGTGGGGAGGCTTAGTAGATATCATCTGCTGTGGACTGAATGTCCCCCTTGATTCACCCTGAGCCTGTACACTCCTAGTGTGATGGTAGGAAGCTGATCTCCTGCTGTGATTACATGTGAAGGTGGAGAATGTTTGGAATCTGAGCCTTCTGCAGGGTCCCTAGTGGCTCTCTCCACCTCTGTGATGCCTGGGGAGAAGGCTGCTGCCCACCTCGGGGTGGGGCGCCTGCTGATAGCAGACCTCAAGTCAAAGTCCTTTATCCACAGTGGTGGAGCTTCATGTCTGCTGCTGAGGCCACCCCAGCCTTTGTGTTTGTGTTACTGTAGCCCAGACAGATTCATAGCGCCCAGTCCTCTTCTGAGCTTCCGAGGTACTATGGGTGTTATAGTTTAAAGTGTCCCAAGTGGTCATGTTTTCAGTGGTGGAGACTTCAAAAGTGATTGCATAAAGAGCACTCTAACTTCACTAAGGCACAATGCACTGGAAATGCTGTAATTGTGGCATTTCTGGAGATAACTTACGAGGATTAATGACATTTTAACTCACACAGATTGTAACTTCAGCATCACTTGCCTTGAGAATTCCACATTCGTTTATGATCTTCTGGAATTCATAGTTATAGAAGAAAAGTCAGATGTCAGAATTCTTTATGCACTTTGAGAAAAATTCCATATTTTCTTTCCATCATGAAAAGTCGGACTCTTTCCTTTTTATTTTGTGTTATGAACTTTCTGATGAGGTCTAGATTTCGTTTTATCATTCAGGTTCTTTCTTGACATTTGATAGACTATTGCTCAGAAAAAAGGAGATATGTATTTCTTTATCTTTGGAAAACATCTATATTTTTGAGAATTACTTACCTAATTTTATACTGTCTTCATTTTATAGCTTCTTTAATGAGATAGATGAATGAGGCTATCTTTAATTTACTCTATTTTTTCTCTTCCTTATATGTTTTGTGCTTTTGGAAGAACTCAAATATATCTTGTTTATTTTATTTAAAACAAATGCTTTTGGCACTAATTCATAAATGGATAAAAACTTACTTCTACTTCTGGTCTTTACCAAGAGCATTTTATCATTGTGTTATCAGTGCCATTTGTCAGAGGCCATTTGTATTTGTGTACTTTTCCCATCATCTGATGAAAGTCCTGATGTAATATTATTCTTGTTTGTGTATTTACACTGAAGAATCAATGCTGTGTGCCAGGGAGGCAGATTGTACTTCCCAAGCTGCTTTATGGGAAGATCTGTTTCCCTGATAAGAGCTTCTCTGAAAGGCATCACCAGTTTGCAATTTTGTCCATAGGGAGGTCATGATAATGAGAAATTGTCATTTTCAGGTGCAGTGTGTAGATACTGCCCAGTAGACTGATCATTTTTGTGGTCTTTGAAGCTGTTCTGAAAGTTAAAGTTATTTATCATGTAGGCTTCACCAGAGTTACTGGGTATTTGCTCAAAAATTATCCAGACCATTTCTGGGGAAGAGTAATTTCGATAAGGTTCATATGTGTTCTACATGAGTTTCTATCATGGTCAGCAATGAGTGTCCACAAGAAGACCCAAGAAGCTCAAGAGAACAGACTTCATGGTGCTCATGGGGCCCAGAGGCAGGAGGCCTGCAGACCATCCAGCACTGCATGGGTAGTCGCTGGTCATCAGGAGGTGAGGACAGGAGCCAGGTGCTATGGAAGACAGCGCATTCTCAGTACTGCCATGGGAAACACAGGCACAAACCAAGCACTCAGCGTGGCCTGGTTTGGATCATATTTGTGGTTTTAGTCAGCCAAGTGGCCCTTCATGTCTTGTCCCTGAAACCTTTAAGACAAAGTCTATCCAAGGCAACTGATGAAGTGTCCTGTGTCCTTTGAATACTGTTAAAGTATCCTGTGCTACATCCAAGAACTGGCTAGTCCTGGGAGAAGCACTTCTGCTCCTAGCCTGAAAGATTCTGTGGTTTTTACAATGTTAAAACATCATAAGATGGAGACACTAAGGTTTATTCACCTTTAAATAACACAGCAAATCACTCTCCCTTGTGTGTGTGAATCTTATTCAGTGAATCGGTTAAAGATTCCGCTCTGAGACAGGAGAAATTCTGCTAGCAGGGAAGCATTGTGCAGTAACCTGCACAATGCTTCCCTGAGCCTCCAGCCTGCCATTCGCCATCAGTGCCCCAAGCCGTCCCATCCCTGTGAGCTGATTCCATACAGTAACAGTCTCTGCACCCATTCCTTCTTGGAGAAGCATTCTAGAATAGACTTTGCTGCTGAAGGTGAGGTCCTTCGAGATAAATAGAATCCTAAATTTGACCAAGGCTGAATGCCTACACACTTCACCTTCCCCACTGGCCTGGCCTGGATCTGTCACTTCCTCTCCCTCCATCCCCAGATCCCCTTCCC